GGCTCTGCCAGCAAGGGAATTCACCCAACTGCGTTATTGATACTATGAAACAGTCCTTCAGGAAAAGCTGTTGATGGTTGTCACACATTTTCAGAAATACATTGCTCTGAAAAGGAAGAAGAGAACTTGAGGTGTTGGAAGGAGTTGTCTGAGCTGCCCACACCATATATGAAGCACCTAGTTCAGAAGAGCATCCAGAAAAATAGCTTTGTATACCATCAAACCAAACACCATGAGCCACAATGCCACTCTTTATGCCCTGTTGTATAGTTAGGACCTGTCATAAAGGATCAGAAGCCTGTTTCTGTCACTTTGGACACAGGTATATGTCAGGAGCAGTTCTGCTAGCATTACTATGATATAAGAGGAGACTGCAAAATAGCTATTAGCAATAGTAAAATCTAATTTTACATGGAAGGAGGGTGGGTGCAACTGTACCACAGATTTCAAGGAGTTATGATCCAATCTAACCAATACCACAATGTTGTTCATTGTGTTTCATCTCTGAAGTAACTCTCCCAAGGTGAATTGAGATAATGAAACTCATTCTCATCAGATGAAAATTGTTATGGAAGTGAAAGTTACATTCCCAGTACTTTAAAAATCATAGAATCATAGAATGGTTTAGGTTGGACGGGACCTTAAAGATCGTTTCCTTCCAACCCCCCTGCCATGGGCAGGGAGACCTCCCACTAGCCCAGGTTGCTCAAAGCCCTGTTCAACCTGGCCTTAAACACTCCCAGGGATGGGGCATCCGCAACTTCTCTGGGCAACCTGTTCCAGTGTCTCACCACCCTCACAGTAAAGAATTTCTTCCTGATATCTAATCTAAACCTACCCCCTTCCAGTTTAAAACTGTTATCCTTTGTCCTATCACTACACTCCCTGATCAAGAGCCTCTCTCCATCTTTCCTGTAGGCCCCCTTTAAGTGCTGGAAGGCTGCTGTAAGGTCTCCCCAGAGCCTTCCCTTCTCCAGGGTGAATAACCCCAACTCTCTCAGTGTATCTTCATAGCAGAGGGGCTCCATCCTTCTGATCATCCCCATGGCCCTCCTCTGGACCCGCTCCAACAGGTCTATGTCTTTCCTGTGCTAAGCGCTCCAGAGCTGGACACAGTACTGCAGGTGGGGTCTCACAAGAGTGCAGTAGAGGGGCAGAATCACCTCCCTTGACATCTGGCCGCACTTCTTTTCATGCAGCCCAGGGTACAGTTGGCCTTCTGGGCTGCAGGATCACAGTGCCAGCTCGTGTTGAGCTTCTCATCAGTCAGCACCCCCAGGTCCTTCTCAGGGCTGCTCTCCAGCCATTCTCTGCCAAGTCAAAAGGTTTTGCTCACCACTTGTTATCTGATGAGTTTTCCTTTCACTAATGCTATGTGATTTTGAAGCAATAGCTTTACTTTAGAAGTCTAACTACAAAGTTTTAATTGACCATAGGTGATCTGGGATGGAATGACAAGCATCTCATCCCTGACTGTGAATTCAGACACAGTGCAGCAACATGTTGGAAGTCTAATGGTGAATGAGTTCCTGCAATGGCTTAGTGATTCAGTCCAAAGCAGAGGAGTGGCCATCTTACCATTAACTACCGCCACTTTATTGCCTAAGCATTAAAGATGCTTTTAAAGTCCACAGACCGGCTAGAGCTTTCCCATTAACTTCAGCCTCTGAAGGATCCAAACCTAAAGTGTCTGTGTTTAGTCTCTGCTGAAAAACAGGTGAGTCTTGTTCTTTTGTGAGTAAAATGAAAGCTTCTTAATTCCAGGGAAGTAATGGTGATGCTGTTTGTAACTGTTCATAAAAGCCTAACCAAGCTGGTTGCTTGAGTGGGGGAGTAAGGCCAGCTGTGTAACCTACAAGAGACCAGTCTGTTTCAGAAGTGAGGGGGCGAGTCTCAAAATTCTTGTTTATTTCTTTTCATTCATTTCTGTTAGTTTCTGAGTGAAGACAAGGGTTAATTAGATAGCAAATACCCTCAAGAAGCACGATGCAAAAAATAATGTTTCAGAGGGCTGATTCACTGCAATATTTCTGTGAAATTCAGGTCATACGCTGTTCTATTTTGTGTTCTTGCATGTGAAAATGCATGAGAAAGCAAGTCTGTCCATCCCCTGGCTTTGCACAGCCTTCAGTTGCATTTTAAGAGAGAGAAAAAAATCAGCTCTTAGTAGAGCTACGTCTAAGAGAAGTTAAACAGTGAGTTTGACTTCTACAGTCCGTTTTGCGCAGATAGTGTGTAGTTTTGTATTTTGTATAGTGATAGAAAGATGAAAGAAGAAGAACCTTAGCTTTTATTTCAAGGTGCTGAACAGCAAACTTTTCAGATGGAAAATGTCTAGGAAATTCTTGTTCTGATTCTGCCTTGGTGTGTTAAAGAACAGTTTCATCTGGCTGCATAGTAGAGTAGTTTTTTTGGATTGGTTTTTGGGTTGTATTTGACCGTGATGTTATGTGTGCTTCAACACTTAATTTCAACATGTGACTCCTAATACACAGAAGACTTCAGATACTGAGTTGTTTGCTGAATGTTTTGGTTGCTTTTTCTCTGCAATAATTGGTTTTATGCAGACTTACTAAATGTATGGAAAGGAGTGGGAAAAAGTACGTATTTAATATAATTAATTATGCTTGCATATTCAGTAGAAAATAACTTTTAAAATATGCTGTCTTCTGTTTTTCTTGGAAAAGGTTTAACAGCAGTGAGTACTGTGCTTCAGAATGTGTCTTTTGAAGATGAGTTTTATTTGGGGCTCAGCTTGTTGTTTTAATTAAAAACTCCTCGCATGTTCTAGTGAATGTTTACAGGTGAGGAAGGGAGTCAAACCAGCCACATAAGAGTGCCCGGTATATTAAAGTGGGAAAAAATTAGTTACCTGAGCTGTAAAACTCTCCAGCTAACATCCTTATTACTGCAAACTGGGACATTGGCTCTGTGCCACCTCAAAGTGTGTCAGTCACAAGCTCAGTCTGTGCAGCAGTACTCACCTATTCTTTGAAAGGCTTTTAAATAAACAGCTGACTGCCACAGAGCATTTGAGAGTTTATGGGTCTTAGTAACAAACAACAAACTGTAGGGCAAAGTTGTCTCTTTAAAGTACCTTCATTTCCTGCCAATAACACTTCACTAAATTGTTCCAAGGCTAGTTTTGTTTGAAGTCTTCTTTCTCTGACCTCTGTCAGGTTTCAGGATCTCTGGATTTAGACATTCAGGATCTCTGGTTTTGAACATTGCTCCAAGGGTCATGTCAGATACGACAACAGTCTCCTTGGAGTTCATCCCTGAACGTCTTATATTTTGCTGGCACAGAAAGAATAACCGTTTAGGAACTCATGTTTGGAGTATCCATCATGCCATCAGCAAAAAGAAAAACAGGCACTTCTCTGCTGGTTTTGTTTAGCTGCTTCTTGCTGGCGACTTGACTGGATGCTGATCTTTCAGCTAATTGGGAGAGGATTTTTTATGGCACACACATTCTGTTGTGTGGGGACGGGGTCTAGCATGCCAGATTTCTCTTTGCTTAGGTACATGTTGTTTTCTTGTGGTGCTTAAGAAAAAAGAAGCACCTTTTTCTTTTCCTTTCTGCCCCTCAGCAAAGCTTTGGGCAACTGTCTTCAGAAGAATTTAGTGCTTTCCATACACAGCCTATTAAAATTTGCATGGATTTGATTTCTGTTAAGGGAAATAGTGGAGCATACATAATCCCATGATGAGAATTCATCAGCCATTGATAGGGTAGGATTTTTGTAGTGCTGTGCAAATTTAAAATATATTGTGTTATTGAATTTAAATAATGCACAGCATGAAATGTTTAGTCTCTGTCTTTAATCATAATCGAGATAGACCCTATCTAGCCTATCACCTACTAATTGCTTGCATTTACTGATGATAATACTCTTTGCATGTACAAGAACAGACAGGGCTCTAATGCAGTACTACTGTATTTTTTCAATCATACTGGCTGTCAAAACCATTCATTGTTGCCAGACTAGGTTAGATGGAACAACACAAAGTCTATGCTCTTCCTTTTGTAAGAATGACAATGCCAAGTATTCCCCTGTAGAGAAGATGAATAGAGCTATAAAGGAAGTGGCAGCTCCACCATTGCTTTCTACTTATTCTACACAGTCCAATAGAAAATTAAGACCACTACTGAATTCCTGAAGGTGAGTCAAGAAAAATAATCATCTCTGTACATTTCTGTGGGAAACAGGAACAATTTCTGTGCAATTTTGTAGGTTTCACTCTAACTAGGTTCTATGAGGTTTGCAAAAATAAATAGCTCATTAATAAAAAAAAAAAACAAATGTGGAAAAATCTTGCTTGGGGATTTTTCTTCCTACAGAGAAGAGCACTGAAGCTATGGTGAATGCTTAGAGGCACCATGGGTCACTTTAGGAACAGTTAGATAAGACATCGAAATTGTCACATAGTATTTCGTCCACTAAATTTATACATGCATTATGTATGGTATGCAGTCATGGTAAAAATGCAGCAAAATTAAAAGGTTGGTTTAAAACTGATGGGAAGATTATACAAGATTTATTGAATTCCCATCTTTATGGTAATTTAAGAGACTCTATTTGTGTAGATATTTAAAGACGACAGAATTTAATTCCTTAATACTTCAAAAAATTAGGCTTTTTTTTTTCCTTTTAAACATCCATCAAGTTAGGGGGCTACCAGTTTTTAAGGTTAGCTTGTTATGTAGTTGATTTTCAGCTCATAATTACTAGAAAATGATGGTAAAACAGTAACAAACTGATAAGGCCAGACTTGAGTTTACCACTAATGTATATTGTTTCCATATCCTTAGGGACATGAAGCCTTTTGCGGAGGCTTTCAAGAGGAAGAGCTAGTAGACTGCTCTGAAGTTGATAGAAGTTTCTCTGAGAAAAAGAGCCACGTGCCTGGAGGACCTGTGATAGGGAGAAACTGTTTTCAAATACCTGCATTAAATCTCAGCTGTGCTTTTCTGCCAGCAGCTGCAGAGCAGAAGATTAGCAGACATGTCCATAGCGCTCAAGCAAGTCTTTAATAAAGATAAGACTTTCCGCCCAAAACGCAAGTTTGAACCTGGAACGCAGAGGTTTGAACTTCACAAACGAGCACAGGCCTCTCTGAACTCAGGTGTGGACTTGAAAGCGGCTGTGCAGTTGCCCAGTGGAGAAGACCAAAATGACTGGGTGGCTGTCCATGTTGTTGACTTCTTCAATAGAATCAACCTCATTTATGGAACTATCTGTGAGTTCTGCACAGAGAGGACGTGCCCAGTGATGTCTGGAGGCCCTAAGTACGAGTACCGGTGGCAGGACGACATGAAGTACAAGAAGCCCACAGCATTGCCAGCACCCCAATACATGAATCTTCTCATGGACTGGATCGAGGTGCAAATCAACAATGAGGATATATTTCCTACAAGTGTAGGTAAGTGCGAGGAAGAAGTCTTAAAGCATCTTGAAACTGTCTTTCATTGTACTAAGCATGTTCTTGTCCCAACCTCATTTTTAGAGATTGTGAAATTCAAGCCTTTAAACAGCAGATAGAGAAGGGGAGGGTGTCTTGCAGGAATAGTGGGAAACATATGAAATGTTAACTGTGGCTACTAGATATGGTGGGATTTGTTAGCCTAAAATGTTTTTATTCTAGCCATGTGTCCCTGGTAAGCCTCTCAGGTTAATTGCTAGGGGTGGTCAGCATTGCATTATTAGCTTGTTGAAAGCAATCATTTGCATTGCCCACTTTGCATACCCAGTTAGGCAGATACAGAATGGATGGAAAGCAAAGCCTAATTAGAGTGGTATTTTCCATTCCAAGTGTGTACAGCTATGTGCAGTACAAGGCAGTGGAGAATCAGGAATGCAGTGAACTCTGCCTTCCCACCCTCTCTTGACTTCCCATCCAAGACTGATGAATTGGGAAGTGAACTATTCTCCAAATTACTGTTTCTAAGACTATATATATATAACTAACAAGCTTTGCTATGGTTAAACCGGAGGGCCCAGATGAGACAGCTGTCAGGGGCAGCACAATTTTCCTTTTATAATACTATAGTTGGTTTTCCTGAAAAGTAGGGCAAGTAGGTATTCCAGTATCTTTGCTGGAATAGTTCCCTCTGGATGAGGAGGACTTTGCAGAAGAGTGTGTTGTGTAGTGTAGAGAGCCTAAATCTTTAGCTGTGGCTGCAGGTAATAAAAAAAGACAGGATGTTGTAACTTAGAGATGTCAGTGTACATATGTAATTTTTACCAGTTTTAGTTAATAAGTCCTGATTCATTTCTTGCACGTGGGAAAACTGGGAGCTTGCTGTAAGAAATGTGAGGTGTTATATATAAGTACCTGGCATAGAACCATAAGAAATATGAAGAACGCTCTTATGTTAAAATTAGTTCAGCCAAATATTTTGCAGTTTGTATGCAGCTAGGGCCTGTGGCTAATTGATAGGTGATACCTCAAGAGGCTGCATCTATCAGTATTTTCTGACCTTTGAAGTACCTTATTCTTGGCCTCGACAGCTATTTGTCCGGACAAACTTGAGGTTTGTTTCACAGTTGCTATCACCTTTCTTCTCTACACTAATAGATAGAAAGAAAGCAGTTACTATATCTTTTAATCTGGACTTTGCCAGCATAGCAAGAAGGAGGAGGATTTCAAAGGAAACAGTATCATATATTTTGTGTGGTGAAAAATGAGTTTGATTTCTCAAGCATTCTTTGTTTTATGTTTCTTCAGAGTGAATGATTTTTGGAATTGAAGGCGAGTTGAATGTGCAGTGAAGTATGTGATTTTTGCTTCCATTGGTGTTTCTGTATTCTTATTACACCAAGTTTCCATCTTGGAGTATTCCAATAATACTTTGTGCTCTTGCAGTTTGCATTTGGAGAAAACATTGTCTGTCTGCAAGCATGGAGAGCAGGTAACACACTGACATGCTGATGGGCTCTACTGAACCAAAAAATAATCTGTAACACCAAGCTTCCAGCTCTAGATGCTCCCCCCTTATGTTTGCAGTAAGAAACATCAGGAGGAACTTTTATCCTGAAGAACTGAATCAGTAAATACCCTCAGTCTCCTCTTTTTCTCCTCCCAGCAGTTCCTGCTGTTGTAAATTAATCAAATCTGAAGAAACTGAGGAAGGGGGAAGACCTGTGGTCTCTAGAATAGGGCTGGACTCTGGTACAAACAGGAATGTTTGATGTCTGAAAAATCGTCTCACTCTGAATTGACCCAAAGGAAGGAGAACAGTCTGCTTGAGCTTTCATGGAGTGGTGGACTGTGCCATGGTTGTATTACAGACTGAGATGACTGGACAGTCCCATAAAGAGATTTTATAGATATCCTTTGTAGCATTATTCTGTAGAGCAGCACTTGCATCCATATTCTACTTTCCCCTCCTCTTGAGCCTTCATTGCAGATACCATAGTGGCCACAGTGCACAGTTCTCATTATCTTCTTGATTCACTGATTTGTGGTATGAAACTGTTGGTAAAGTTGCTTGGGAGGCCTTCGATCTTACAATTCAGAAACAGATGCACACTGTGTTGAATTTGGCATTCTGAGTAACTCTTCTCTCAGCAAATCCCTACTTAGGCACCTGGAATGGTCAAAGGGAAGTTTTGGTCTGTTCCTGGGTAAGTTACTTTTCTTTCAATGGAATCTTTCTGATTTATTTGCGCATAAATCCCCTATCTGTAAAATGGAGATGATAATGTCAGCCAGCCTGAGTAATGCTTATAAAACTGTTCAATGAAATACAGTCACTCAGGATGTATATTGTTACGTGGTTTGGTTTTCACAATTGGATCAGAGAGAGAAGCTTTGTTACTGTGTTGGGCACTGTTTGTTCCTACACGTTCTGCAGCAGCCTTTGGTTAGATGCACCATAGGCTTAGTATTAATGCAAACCTGTATTTTCATTCAGAGAAACTAATGACGGTGAAAATGATAAGTGTTCATTCTTCAAAGCAGTTGAAATAGATCTTAAAAGATGATACAGTCAGATGTGAAAATACAACAGGCTTAGGTATGTCCTTAGTTATAGTACAACAGGTTTAAAGCATTGGGTGGCTGTAACTTAGAGATTCATTTATTGCTTTGAATCTTTGTAGCATATGGTCTGCAGAGAAGAGTTCTGGAAAAAATGTATGTCCAGTGGATGGGATTTGGGTGACTTTCCCATTAGCAAATTAGTTTGGTGAAAAGATCCAGAGTGGGATTCATAGGAGCTGCATGCAGAAACTTGAACACATTTTTCTCAGCTTAATCCTATTAAACTCGTCCTCTTCCATTTGGCATATCCCATGCAAATTATCTAAAAAGGATTTTCAAGAACCGTGATTAAGCGCAGCTTTCATTTAGGAACTACTTTAAAGGAAAATAATTTCAAGATAGGGATAGCCAGGCTTGGTGGGCTTTTTTTGTGTATTCTTGTTGTTCCTCTTGGTTTAAAAAAAAAAAATAAAAATCCCAAACCGAATGCAGTTGAGTTATAAATAGTTATGTATGTTATATTTAACTCGCTCGGTGTTTACATTGGCACGATGACCTCTGGCCACTTATCAGCCTCTGTACTGCCTGTGGTCTGGTGCTATTTCCTCTCTGCTTTCTCCAGTCATTTTGGTCTATTCATTTGCTGGTAAAAAGCCTCTTCCTCCAGCCACTCTCCTACAAATACTGAACTGGCTGGCAAGAGAAAAGGGAGCTGGTATGGGAATGGAACAGCTGTCAAGAATTGTGTGCAGGTGACAAAAACAGGTGCTGTACATTAGGACCACTTCTTTCTATAGCAAAGCTTTAAGGACTGTCTTTGTAAAATGGCCTTGCAACCTGTAGAGGATTTTAGACATGATTATGTCCTTGTTTTTATTTCCATTTTTCTCAATTTCCTTTATCCATTTTAAGTGGATTTAAGGCACGTAAGATGCTGACAGCTCTGGAAACAAGTTCTGAATGAGACCACAGATATACCCTGACCTGTCTCAGCCCTTGCTGAGTGGCAATGTGGGAACAGAAGGGAGGAGAGTTCACTCTGTATGCCTGCTCAGGCCACTCTGGTGAAGCTATCCATATCGGTCCCCAGCACGGATTTTTGTAGTTTTTTGTAGTTTTAGTTAGCTTTAGGGTAAACTCTTTTTCTTCAGTAAATACTAGTTGCTCTTCCAGGCATCTAGTAGTCTCACTATTTAAACACCTTTCAAGTGCTATATTTCTGATGCTCATATGAACAACTTAAATACTGCATAGCCTCAAAAGTACCTTCACTTCCCCCCCCCCCCCCCTTTTTTTTTTTTTGTCTCAAAGACAAGAAAGCCGCTCTCTATGGCTGTGCTCCCTTCAGGCCCGGATTCCCAAAAAAGACATTCAGTTGCTTTAGGTTTTTCCTCTTCCTCATTGCAGCCTTAAATTGGGAGTAATTCTGTCTTGTTTGCATTTTCAGTGAATGGAATGGCTTTTTCTGTTGTAAGAGTCGCTGGGAAAGATACCCAGATATGTAAGGCCACAGGGGATTATTTAATTTATTCTAATCTGACCTCCAGCCTAACACAGGCCAGAGAACGTCACCACATCAGGTCCATAGTTTGAAATGAGAAGACAATCCGAAGACAGAGTTCTGCTGAAATAAACAAGAACACAAACTTCTTTTCTGACTTGACATAATGAAAAGCTTTTCCCAAAGAGGACAATAAAGCAGTTGAGAGGGGGCCGAGAGAGGTTGTGCTGTCCACATCCTTTGGGGTTTTCAAGACCAGGCTGGATAAAGCCCTGAGCAATCTGATCTGATGGCTATATGAAGCAGAAAACTGGGAAGCAGACCTCCCAAAATCTGTGCCAGGCTGAATTATCCTGTGATTCTTAATTCTAATTTCAGCACTGACAGGCTGCTTCAGGAAGAAGAGCTAAACTGATTAGAAATTAATTAAGCAGTTTAAAAGGCTGCAATTTGGCATTTAATGGAAATACAAAATCACTTTTAAGATACGACAGTTTTTGTAGAGGGGAATTTCAAAGGTTATTGAGTTACTCTAACCAAATAGCCTAGTTATGGCTGATCAAAACGAAAACATACTTCTAAAGAGGTTAAAGCCTAGGGCTTCAGCTGAAAAATTAATGGGTCTTTAGAAATACACCGCTTAACTAGTAAAGTTTGGTAGCTGTCAGCTTCAGTGTTTTTGCACAGAGCGTGCATGTGGCACTACTTCCAAAAGACAAGCCCAATGTGTCACCACAACGCACTTACAAAAGCAGACCAAGACTCTGGAGGGCCCCCGTGGATGTGATTCAAAACAACCACTAAATCAAGAACATTTTCAATTGTCTTTTACTAACATTGTGGTAGAATTTTTCTGGTTCTCTAGCCAGCAATAATAGTTACCACTTAGGACAGTTTTCTGCAAGGAACCAGCTGGCTGGAGGTTGTGAATAGAGAC